CGCTGGGGCAGGCGGCGCCACCGGGGGAGGCGCCGAGACATTCCCTGGCCCCCGTGCAGAGGCCTTGTTCACCGACCGGCGGTGCGGGCTTTCCGGGGGCGGGGGCCGGTGGGGTGGCCCGCGTGGCGGTGGAGCGGGGCGGGCGACCGGATGGTGGAGTGGTCCAAGAGGGGGGGGCCTTGGCGCCCGTGGGCAGCCCCAGTCTCCTTGACAACTTCATGGAGGCGTTCCGGAGGGCCCCCCGTCGCCCCTCCCTCCCGGGGGGGGTGGAGCTGCGGTGGGATGCCCCCGACCAGCCTTGGCCCAAGCATGCACCATGCCGGCCGCCGGGCCGCCTCTTGGAGGGAGAACGGGCGGCCCGGGTTAGCCGTTCGGAGGGGCGGGGGAGGGAGCGTGGCATTGGGAGGGGGGGTGCGGATTGGGGCGAGGGGGAAGGCGCCGGGGGGTGGGGTGGCCTGTCAGGCGGGGGTGGGCACAGGGGGCGGCGCGGTGGATGGTAGACGTGGCGGGGGTGACGTTGAGGAGTGGGGTCGTTGGGGGTGGGAAGCTGCACCCGTACTGTATCTGTATTTTTTAAAAACGTTGTTGAGCTGGTCGTGTAGAGCGCTCGGACTGGTGATGTGAGCGCTCTCAAAAATGGCGATTTTGCGCACAAATTTCATTGTTTCCCGATGGCCGATCTTGCGCACAACCATTATGCCCCAAAAAGCACATAATCGCGATGTTGCGCACAAGTGCACCCTTTTGGACCTTACCGACATTTTGCACGAAAGTTAGTTCCCGGTACGAACTGCATGGCTCCCTTATCAAAATCCACCACAGAACCAAACTCTACCATAACGGTATGCCGTGCGTCTAAATTCAGCGGACCCACGGTTCATGTCATCACTAGTAGAAAACAGTATGCTTCCGATGCCATTTTGACACAAATTGATGCCATCACAGCCACTTTTTCTGCCATCGCAATCACTGTGACGGCATCAGTTTGTGTCAAAATGGCATCGCAGCTGGCATCGCAAACATGCCATTTTCTACCAGTGCATGGAAATGCCTCACCGTTCGTACCGAACACAGTCGCTTCCGTGTACGGGGATTTCATTCGAACAGTGTTCGGTCGAGCGGCAGCGAAGGGTATGGTCTTGAAAGCCTGCAAACGAGCCAAGGCGCAAGAACTCTCCGCGTGGAGAGTTGAGCCTCGACTCGTTTTGGACTTTCAAAGGTGCAATATACCGGCAGAGAGTTGACTTTTCAAGAGCCTCGCAAGCCCCTCTGCCTCGAAACCTGAATCAGCACGCCGCTGGAAACGTCGCTCACCGGCTGGTCGCGGAAGAGAGAGCCAATCCTCGAGGTGGGCAGGCGGCGAGCAGGCTGCAAGGCGGTTAGGCCCCTGCCGGCGAAACGCCGGGCCGGGGGGCCCCTGGGCCTGGTGAAGGCGGGGCGAGCGGCGGCGCTCAAGCGCCCGCCACCCGCGCGACAAGTGCGCGGAGCGAGCGGTCGCATCGCTAGGCGAGCGTGTCGGTGGCAACAGCAAATTGGGCGCCGTTGCTCAGGGGTGTGTTTTCGAACTGTGGCTCAACTCTGACGGCCGTGCTTTGTCCGAGCGTTGTTGACCTAAATCGATGTCATTTCCGTCGGCGACGGCCAGTCAATTAGGTTAGTGGTGAGCGCTGGGATGGTTGCGGAAACCTTGCTGGCAGACCATGAGCAAGTTGGCCATTTTGGCGCATGCATGTAAAGTAATTGATTGATAGTGAAACGGTGCTTTTGACAAGTATAGAATGACGCTTGTCTTGCTCAACACTCAATGCCGATGAACAATGTTTCTAGTTGCTGGCGGCGGGATGCGTACCTCACTTTCCCGCATCTTTGTGATTCTGCGGGAACGTAAGCACAAGGCCACGCAACTTCAGTAGGGGGGATGTTACCGACATCCAGCGGATCAGCATTGATGCGGTTGACGTCAGCAGTACAGTGATACATTATTAATGGTACTGAAAATCATGGACATGGTCGATGTCCTTCTTTCCCATCGTTAAGCCATTTGAATTTGCAGTGCTTGCTTCGCTGACACAATTGCAGCCCCCAGAATAGGTTGCAGTTCTCGGGACAGGCGCAAAGTGCCAGTGCCCTACAAGAATATCACAACCAGCGTTACGGTAAGGAGCTCTCCCTTGGAGTTCCCCATTGCTTCTAAGCAAGTAGAATATCAGGACCTAGAGCGATGGCGATCCAGCGCGGGATTTTATAAGAATGCGTCGACAGGCTATTGGATGCACTGCTCATGTGTCTGCTATGTGTTAATCAATCTGACGGAGGACGAATCTCCTTAAGGCCATTTGACAATTTTTCGATCAAGGATCACCTTGGCGTTGTGTCGGGCGGTGCGACGGGTTTGATACAGCCCCGAACAGCAATAAACACTGTAGATTAAACATTTTCAATGGAACCCAGGAAGCCACACCACCATAGTGCAATCACACTGCTGGTGTGCTCTTCTCCGACACAAGCCAACATACATGGAAGCCATAATATATAAGGAAAGTTCATATACACCTTTCCTGCAGTCTCATTCCTGAGGCAAATGCAGATCTGATCCAGTACTTCAGCAATACGAGCTGCAGCACAGTTGTCCAACCTTTCGTGCTTGGGAATCGGGCTGCTTTTCCAGCAGTGTAGCACCGCGTTTTAGTTCCAAGCTCATTAAGCACGCGGGCTTAGGGTTGCAAATCCGCATGAACACGGGCAGCCACAGCCTTTTCATGAAGGCGCACGAATTCACGTGCTTACTCGAATATGCACGCACATAACTTCACGCATATTCGAATATACCTGTTTATTCCTGCCAAGGGTCTGCAAGGAAATCCCCGTGGCGTATGGTTAGCTGACCTCCGCCCTCGATCACCATGGCCCCCCGCGGCACGTTGGGTCGGCCTGGAAGCACTTCTTGGACAACATAGGCTGCCTGATCATGATGATTGATGACGACACCGATCCTGATCATAATCGGAATAGTCCTTGGGTGACGCAATCTGAGTAATCCTGCCTGATCATGGTCGCTGATCATGACGCTGATACTGACAGGGTTGGGCGATCGCCAACTGAAGACAGGGCAGGCCGTGTATTTGAGGCTGTTTGTTCGATGACGTCATCGCCCTCCGAGAGGACGGGGTTGATCCCGTGTTAGGGATACCCTAGGACATGGCAAGCTGAAAAATTGTCAGTGGCGACATTGCCGCACTGATCCAACGTGATTGCTGGTGTCTAAACACGAACAGCCGTTAACTTATGTGCGTACAGATGAACGCACAAAAGCTTCAATGTATTTTTAGGTAACGTGAATAGCCACAATTGCAGCGATTTTAATGGGCTGAAAAACGGGATGATACGGGCAGCCACAACAGCTGTCTATTGAGGTGTTCTGGGGCCTTCATTCAAAATTGAACGCTTGAGGGAGGTTTGGAACAAGTCATGAGCAGTTTGCCGCCGACCAGGCCGCTTCTGGGTGTCTTCCCACGTTATGTCGAATTTGCGTCTCCCCCCACCCCATCCCACCCCAACCCAACCCCCCACGCCGTTTCAGATTTAGTGCATTCCAGGAATGCATTTAGGGAACCTAAGGTTTTCGAAAACACGATACAGGCTTGTTTTGAAATGAAGCAATCGCATCGTGCGACTGTGACTTAATGGATATATGCACTATCTGCATGCCCATATGCCAGATATTGGAGTTTGCGTTAAACGCAAGTTCGAATACCTGCAGAAACTTTGTCAATTTCAACCAATCCACCAGGTACGGGACATCAACCATGCAGCAATGTCTGACCACAGGTGGCGAGCGGACAAAATGAACGGATAAGCGACAGAGAAACGCGCTTGGATGTATATACGCCCGCCATCGGGGAGAAGGTGCAAGGGCACCGTTTGTCTTATTGAAGGCCGCTATCAGGGAGCAAAGCCGCTGCCACGGTATATCACAGCAACGGGTTGGTGGGACAGCTCTTCCCAAGCTTGTGACTGCCAAGGACTCAGAGGCATGAAGCCCTTGCAGGGCTTCGACAAGCGAGTCGATTCTACTCGCTTGTCGTTTGTCTTCCTTCTTCCCGCTAAGTCGATTCATACAAAATATGATTGAACATTCAAGCGGCGTTTCCGCCATCCAAACTTTCTCACAGCTGGGCGCAGGCATTCACAACAGCAGTTTCAAAGGGCGAGTGGACACATCTCCCTAAGGCCATGACTGTCCCGAATCGTAGCTCTGATGCATTCCAACCAAGGATTTCTGTAAGTCCTGGAAGTGCAATCTTAGATCTACAGTTCGAATGACCTCGTTGAATTCGTGAAGCATGTCCTGTTGGGGGCAACACTATATGCGTTTACCACGTTTCACGTCAAGCTGACGTTCAACTCAGAGTAGACGGGCGAATTTAGGCCTCGCTCATGAAGGGTTCCATGTGCCACCGCAGCAGCAATTCTTAGACCTCTCTTCACTCAAGCTACAACAATTCAAGGAATGAAAAGTGTCAATGAAGACCAGCGCAGAACGATACTGCTTGGACTCCTTGATCCAATTTGAAATTCGCCGCTTCTGACCACTTCGGACATAGTGCCTACTGTGACCTGATGTTCATCGGGTGTCCATCCAACAAGTTAAAGATCTGACCCGCCATCTGCCCGTCGGCGCTCATATTTTCCCCATCCAAGCACATGTGACCACACAGGCACCAGAAAGATCTGCAACCGCAATTGAACGAGCCCTAGCAGCTGCGTTCCAAAGCGTCTTTGGCACAATGCCCTACCTCTACATCCTATGCCCCCCTCCCCTTTTGTTCCTACAGAACAGGATGGGACGAAAGTCGTCCCGAATTGCACTGTCTAAAAGAGTCCGCGTGGCCTTCACGGTCACTGATGAGCATACTCAGCATTGGCGTCCGTCACCTAATACTTTCGCCCACTACAGCATGTCGAGCAAAAAATTCTCCCTGTGGGCGGCCCTCGCTGCCTCATTCACCCTTCTTTTCCTTCCACTTTTCAGACAGGAGCTTCATTATGGATGCATGTTGGGTGCCAGCAGGCGTGGCCGCCTTCGTGGCAGCGTAGTTGTCCTTCATAAAGGCACTGAAACCGTTTGGGGCACGGGGTGTCTTGACGCTTCCATGGGGGCTAAACTTCCCTAGATACTGTAGCCTGCCTTTGCAGACACCGCACACCTGCCATGAACAAAGCCCCTCAGCCACATTCACACTCTTTGCATCCACAAGAGCAGTAGGTACTGTTCGATTGATCACATAATGTCCAGCTCTTATACAGACCACTTGTGCACTATGGTGCTAGAGTGGTTTAAGTGCAGCCCATTGTCACAAAGGAAGGCATTATTTGAATTTTGTATGCTTAACATCAAATTGACGGTGAAGGGGGTGGGAGGGGTGGGGGGTGGGGGGTGGGGGGTCAGCCATTGATGCTAAGAGATTATGCAATTGCACTAAAATCAAAGTGAGGTGGGTAGATGCACAACACGCTGCTGATCAGTGGCAGATAGCTCATGGCATGTTGCAAAAACTCCCTCGCACTGTCAATCTTCAAGAAAGTCCTTAGAATGGATCCATTTTCAGGCTTTTTTAGTTTGCTCCATTCCCCTAACATGGCTTTTGACATCTTAGTTTTCAGTTGTGAAACTGCTGCAATTGCTACAATTTTGGCCCTTTTTTCTTTTAAAACCATTCTGAAGCTGTTGGCATTGTCAGGTAATGTTGCTGAGTCACCCTGGCATCGAAATAAGGATTGGGGGCTGAGCTTAGCGTCACTGGCGTTAAGTTAATTAAAAATTGTTTTCCCTAAGTTCCCTGCCGATGGTCAGCTCCAACCCTGCCATGTGCACTGTCTTGGTAAAATTGATTGCTGTCATTTGCTGGGAGCCCCAATCTGATACTCAACTATGCCCTGGTCCTCCCCCCCTTCACAGAATTCATTCAATTCCTGATCTCGCCACAGCATCAACAGTACCAAGAAGACACAAGTGCTTGGGTTCCCAACTTGCAGCCCTCAACATATCCACATTCCAGTCCTCCCCGTGCGCCTCCCCCGCCTTTGGGTAGTCTCAGCCAAATTCATCTGCCAGGTTCTTACACACACACACACACACACAGAGTCCAATTACCACAACAGGCAGCCATGTGCAGTTACCAGTTCTACCACGTCAGAGATGAACAGAGTTGGCAACCATAGTGGATTTGGCGCTTTCGAACAGTATATGGTGACCCCAATCATTTCTGTATCAAGTCCCAAACAAGCTGCTCACCTGCTTGTCTTCCTTTATCGATTTGGAGTGCCTTTTGTATTGCACCCCACACCTGCCACACAACACAAATACAACGAGAGGAATTTGTGCACAGTGCCCCCACATGCGAAGGGAAAAGTTGCAGCTTTTCATGTTGTGCCGCATGACCTCCATCCACCCGATCGTTGAAAAAGTTCCAACATTCAAGTATGCAATTCTGTTGGGTGCATGTTTCAACACTGACAAAATCGCACCAACAGCCTGTTGAAGGCAAATCCAGGTACCCCAGTACATTCAACCCTTCCACGTGTTGAAAATTCAGTGTCACGATTTTTGCTCCACACTTTTCCAACAGACTGTTATTTTTGGGGCTCTGCATCAGGGCCGCAGCCAGAATGACGACTCCGCTCAGTTCAAATGGCCTGAAATGGCGCTTTTCCCCCAAGGTGACTCTTGCAACCGGCGCTGCCAGACACCATGAGCACTCCAGAGACACTCGCATCGCAGCTGCACTCCACCACATACTCTCAGCACTGTTACGTTTTCGTCACAGCTCCACATAGACAGCCCAAAGCTAGGTTGCAATGCCAAAGGGTATAATATACTATGGTACATGGGCGACTAAATTAGGCACTCTGTTGTCTGAACTTGACAAGCGCATGCGTCCACACAACTGATGGATTCCTAATTGACTGTATGCAGAGAGGCAAGTAAAGCAACGGCGCCTCCTCACTGTGTGCATTGCCACTGAAAGGCCTTGTGTATGCTGTAAGTGTGGCATCGCGTGATCTCCAGGTCTGGGTATTTCCTTTGCACCCTCTCCCCCCACTTGTAGAATGTCCTGCCGTGTGGAGGCTGCGCAACATGATCAATAACCCAAGCTGCAGCATGACACATCTCATGTGCAAGGGTCTTCCGCAAGCGTTCATAGGAGTCCAGCACTTTCGATGATAGCTCGATTGTGGCAATGTGCCTGCAGCTCATATAGCACACAATTTTAGACACATGCCCATCTGATCTGCTGGCCCCAGTGGCCATCCCATTGCCCGCATATGCCCATTTTGGTCAATCCACAAAATGAGATTAGCACATTTACTCACTTGACTTCGTCGTCACCACCTGGGACACGCAGACGGCGCAGCTTGAAATGCGTCCTCCCTGATATCAGACAGCAAGAACAGCAAGAACATTGCTGTGGGTTATGTTACCCTGAGGGGTTCCATTTTGCATAAAGTCAGAAGCAGCATCAGGACTCTTAACACAAAGGCCACCCACATTTTAAAAGTGAACAGAAACGAATTGCAAATCGGAGGCATTCTTTACAAATGCTTCCATAGTAGATTTACTGTCCTCTTTGCTCAGAAGAACCACAGATGGCAATGATGGAGAACAGAAACCAAAGCACAATCAAATAACCTTCTGACAGTGAGCTTCACCCAACACGTTGACTAACAGTGGTCAGGGGAGCTGCTTGTCACACCTTGGCAAGTGCCAGCAAAAGTGTTTCAAACAACTATGCACAAGGGCAATGTCTTTCACGTACCTGCAGTAGTAAGCATTCGTCCATTCCATGTTATTTTCAGGTCAGCAGGCAACTGATTGCCAAAAGCTGCTGCATTCAACCTGCACAGTGGTACTGGAGAGTTAGCCAAATTGCTCCACAACATTGCCGTGTGGCTCATTTAATATCAAGCCAAACGACCCGACAAGATGCAGCTGGAATGCACTATGCCCTCTGTAGCAGTGAAATGGGCAAGCAGCAACAGCAGAACTCCCAACACTAGACTTGTCAAGTTGTGATGTGCATGGGCACGATCGATGTGCAACAGGTCTTGTGGCAATGGTGCTGCACAAATGTACGACAGGAGTTGCAGTAATGTGGCATCAAACAAAGGCCAGGTTCCTGCCTATTCAATTCAGAACATGGTTGCACAGCACATGCCTAGGCATTGCAAGCCAAACATTGCTATGGACAGGAAGTCTGTGCATCATAAAATATCTCTCCTGTTTGCGTGGGAGTGTTTATTGGAGTGTTTGTGAGAGTCTGTCCATATGACAGAAATTGGTGCAATGCAGACAGAGAAGAGCACATGGCCTGCAAACAAACAGATGCCCAAATTGCCCAAACAACAGGTGCTAGAAATTCCAAGAAGGGCAATGCACCTGAGGTTCACATTGCACTGACATGACAATGCGCCAGGACATTCTTGCATGGGCTGAACATGTGCTGCCACTCACTCCTTGAAGAGGCTCACTGTGGCAACTTCCTTCTCACGCTTGAATGCTGTGCCACCCTTTTTGCCAGTTGTGGCAGTGGCCTTCCTGGTTGTGTTTGTGTGAGGGGTGAAAGGGGTCCGCAAGGTGGTGGCTGGCGTCTGGCAAGGCGACCTGCCAGGATCGAGAGAGCAGTGGGCCTTTCCTGTTGCCCTTGTCACATTGGCAACAGCAGCCCATTCACAGGATGAACGGGACAGAGACAAGACACTTTTAAGTGCTGGTACACCACGCACAATTGTGTTGTGCTATGTCTACATGTTGTACTTAGATACTACTGGTAAACTTTTTACAGTTAGTACTAGAATGAAGGAAATTTCCTTAGCAGGGGGCGCCGACTGCACCACACATTACCTTCTGTTGTGGGAAAGACTTGCACAGGCAGCAAAATGCATGACCACATTGAGGGAGCAAAGGCCAAGGTTACAGAAATCGGGGAAGATGAGCCACAGCTTGGGGATGAGCTTTGTCTCTGGTGCTCAGAATCTCAGCGACTCTGACAGTGTTGGGATGCTGGTGCAGCACTTAAAACACCAAATCCCAAGGGCACAATTGACAGTCCGAGATGTGACACGATCAGACAAGAGTGGATTCAGCAAGGACTGGAACACATCTGTGCACAGAAAGTTTTGGCACCACCATGAGGATCCAACTGAATGCAACAATGGAGAGAATCAAAATGAATTGCACAATGAGGATTGGACGGTGTGAATTGCAGAGAACAACTTCCACAATATGCAATCTGACTTGCTGAAGCGGCCCCCACAATGCATCCTGCTTGCCGATGTGTGGGTCTGCACCTCTGGACCCCTTGTCCAGCGAATGATAGGTTAACGATGCACACTACTGGAACAGCATGAAGGGATTGCAGGCATCCTGTGCAGCTACCCGTTTTCTGCCCACCCTGCTGTGGGTTCTTATTTACAAGGATGGCCCCATTTCGGAGCACTTGATCCCTCACCTGTCCCTCAAAAATGTCTGCACCGTAGTGTGTGGTTCGCCATCAGAGTCGCTGCCTCCGATCGTCACCTCCCTCACGACCAAGCGCTTTCCTGTCCTGGATGGAGGTAGGGGATTGTCATGCACGTTGAATGGAACAGGATGCAGTGCAGGCGTTTCTGGCTCCGCAAGGCCCCCCTTCCGTCCCGTGCCTGGTCCTGCTGACATGATGATCTGGGCCACGCACCCATCGCTGCCGCCTGTGCCGCGGGATGAGGTCGACGGGTATGCAAAGTCCCCCACATAGGGCTGCGGGGCGATCGGTGTCTGGCCTGCAGCTAACTGATCAAACAAGGATCCAAGGCGCTGCCCAGGGGGGTGCCTCTGCTCATGCTGTTCTCCTTTTGCCCCATCCCACTCAATTGGACTGGGACAAGAGCTTGGGGAGGAGCGGGGCGAGCTGTCACCACTGCTGATCACGATCACCTCCTCTTCAAACTCTGTTCCAACATCTCTTGTGGCCCTTGGGCTAGCCGTGTGGCCATCCCCGTCACTGTTATCATCCTCTTCCTCGAAATCTTCCTCTCCTGAACTAAAGTCCAGAACCATTATCCTCTTGGGCTTCGCTCTTGAGAACTGCAAGTAGCCGTTGTCAGGCGTGTCCTCCAAGCTTATCACCTCGTTGCTCGTTGCGTGGCTCTTCACAGACAACACAACCTCAGGGGAGTCCCCAGTGGGCTCCAAACTCAGCCTTCCCATCCTCTTCGTGACTCCAGCGCCATTATCCATTCCTCCATCCACAGCTCCTGAAGCTGTTGCCTCGCATTTCTGCAGTCAGTCGTGCTGATTCAGATCACCCAGTGCCCTATTGCTGGCACGCCTGACCTCCTGTGATCGGGGTCTTGATGAACATCCATCAAGAATTATACAGTTTGAAGATCGATACATGTTCATATAGTGGCGTTCTTTGACATCCATGCAATGCCATGATGTGTGCAAGGATACAAATGCTCGCTAGTTGGAGGTCAGGGTGGTCACAGGCACCGTGCATCAAACTCCCCATGGATGGATGGCGGATGGTTGCCATGCTGCACATATTCACCACCAGCAGTTCTCCTCAAGGAAAGCGCGGAAAATGGGCAATCAAAGACGTCTACAGTTGAATTCTCGAGCAGCAGTACAAAATGACCGCCGGCAAGCCCATGCCCGTTGTGCGGGAGCGAGCGCACGCGACGTGACCATGCCTCCCAAATCTTTCCGGGGACATCGCTCCCCGATCGCGTCACGGCCGATCGTTCGTTTTGCCCGAGCGCCACGCGGCAGCGGCGCATTGCTCGAGAGCGCGGCGATGTAGCCCACCTGCGCGCCTCTCCTCGTGCGACGCCGGGCCCCACCGCCGGCGTCAACCGCGCGCGGCTCATCTCCCTCCGAGGCCGAAACAGGGGAAGCTCTCCATACTGACATGCCCGCCAGCAGGCCGCCACTTCGCGAGCAGCGCCCAGGGCAGCCGAACCGCGTCGATCGGCAGATCCGCAGGCTTGAGGCCACCGAGGGGCCGCGGGCCGATCTCAGGTCTATGTGGGGATCCGGCAAAGCGCTTCTGCGCGTCGCGGCGCCGCAGTTCGGCGGAGGAAAATTGGCGGGACGGCTTTGCTGGAGGGCCGGGGCCCAGGGAACTGCCGACAGGGCATCCACTTGGGCTGGGTGCACAGATACTGGCCAGGTGGCATTCCAGTCATTCCAATGAGGCTGCGCATTCAAATTCAGAATTTCGAAACGGGGAGGACATGGATCTGGCAACACAGTGCCGAGGGGCGGACGGTGACTGCCAACAGGGGCTGGCTTTTCGGGACGGTTGCGAATCGACGGCCGGAACACAGTTTGTTGTCAAGCGGACGCCAAGCGGGTGTTGGGGACGAACAGCAGCGGCTTCTCCTTCGCACGCCTGCAAACGACACCAGCGAAAGCTGCAATGATGTCCAAGCATTCCGGTGCCAATTACCGTAGAGCACAATACACAGCACACATACACACATACAACAGTATTGCCTGCATCGCCCGGGATTCAGACGCAAGTTCTTGCGAGACAACGCGGTGGGTCTGGAAATCAAAAACGGCGTCGCCAGACTCTCATCCAAAGGAACGGTTTGGAACCAGCCCCAAAACTTGGGGCAGGCAACTTGTTCCCGCTGCACCTACGCACCGCTCCCCGGCGGGGGGCGGCAGGGTCAGAGAAGGCACGGACCGCAGGTCACGGTCAGCTTCGAGAGGTGACTCCCTACTTTACATCACCAATTCGTTGACACGGTTTCGGGCCCCATTGTTTCGTCAACCTTGGTTGCTGTCGGTGCCACCCCACCCCATGCAGAGCCCTACCCAGGCAATCATCCACCGCCTGCCCCGCCCCACGCACCCCGGCAGCACCTGCTAGGTTCGGCTGCTCCGCACTGCCTGCCTGATGGAAGAAGCCCGCCACAGAGGCAGGCACGCTGATGAGCACAGCGATGTTGGCGCACTCAAGCGCCTTCAATCGCCGCTGAAACGGTTTCACTTGGTTCAGGTCAGCCACGAGCCGCGATGACGCCTGGCACCCACCCACTCTGGGTCCAGGTCTCTGCCGCAACCACCAACGCCAACACCACTTCCTATCCCTCGCCCCTCCCACCCAGCTACACCCCCACACACACTCCCGACACCGAGATGAATCGTTATCGTTGAACACCGAGGGGACAGCCAGCGAACGCAGTGAGCAGGTCCTGCCCACACTTCCACAATCCTCTGACACGAACCTATTCTGGGCGTGCTGGCCGTCACCGGCAGTAAATCGCTGTCAGCCTGGAAAAGTTTGTTGCCTCCTTCTACAGCCTATCCACGACAGAACTCTCGTGGTGTGGCCCGCCGCAACAACCCCTCCATTCGCTGGCCTGACCAACCCACACTCTGTCCCCCTGTCACGCTGTCAATTGCTACTGTGCACCAATGGCTCGGACATCCGTTGAGCACAGCCGGGGGATATGGCACGCCATGCTGTGCGTGCTTCCCAGCCGAGCGAGTTTGGAGGGCAACTGTTGCGAGCCACAGGGCCGCTCCCTCCTGACGATGCACCAGGAAAGAGGGCCCAAACATCTCCAGCCCATCTGCTATGGGCAGTCGCACCCCCTGAGGTGCACAGTAGAGGGCAACCCACAGCTCCACAATGAAGTGCTCGCCGAGGCAGCCATCCCATGCACATATGGTACACGCACAGCTCGCTCAAAACAATCCCAACAAATTCAAAAAACATGCTATCCAGCCTTCCAACAATAAGACCCGCCTCCAGGAACGCCCCATCAATGCTACAATGAAATCCTCCCTACAGGTCAGAAGCCCTACCTGCAGACAATTTTCTCCTCCCGGGGCAGGCGTCTTCCCAGGCACCAGATCAAGAATGAGCTACTGGCGTCCACGGCCAACTTTATTGGTTAATCTGATGTGCCTGGACGCCTACATCCCCGTCCTGCCACTTGACGCTCCCGCTCCCTATCCAGTCGTCTACTGTCTACCCAGCACACACACTGATGGGACCTTCGAGGTTGGCTCCTCTTCCTTGTCGTTCTGCTTCACTGCGGCTGCTGGCTCACCGGGGCTGCCATCAAGGGCGGCGGTTGGAGAAAGCAACCTTCAGGCGCCGCCCTTCAAATGGCCCAGGAATGGTTGCGCCATCCATGTTCGTCATTGCGGTCTGGGCAAAGTAAGGGTGGCCATACGTGATGAAGGCAAAGCCTCGGGACTGTTTGGTGTCGCGGTCACGAATAACCTGCCAAACACTCAACGCACATCAGACCAAGTGCTAACGCAGTATGCCAGTAGTGAACAGCACGGGCAGAGTCTCACGATCACCCTTCCCCTTGCACAAGGCCATCCATATCCAACCCATGAACTGTTCAAGTCAGCCATGCGAACACTGCCAACATACAGCGCCACCTCAGGAGGGGGGGCTAACACACCTACACAGGTGCTCCAGGGCATCCTCACACACCACAACCATACTGTGGCACAGTACAAACCAATGCCACAACATTACCTTCCCGGGACTGCTATCCCAGTTCTAATCGCAATCAGCACTTTCACCATGTTTGCACTAATTAGACACACACCATATTGGCAATACTGCCACACAGCAGAGCATCACGACTCCCAGCACAACTCACCTGGACGTTTGTGATCTGGCCAAAGACAGCAAAGTAGTTCAGCAGCAAGTTCTCATCCACGTTGGGGGCCAGGTTTCCAATGTACAGGGTGACCACGCCCTGAGACATCCGCCCGTTGTCCTGGTCATACGATGTGGAGCTTTCAGACGGTGTGACAGGCCCCATGCTGTTCACCCCATTGTTTGTGCGCTCTGATGACTTGGAAGTAGCATCTTCGTTTAGGTCGTTTGAGCTGGCCTCCCGCTGCAGGCCCTTCGAATTTGGTCCCTGCACGTGTGCACCAGCAACCTTGCTCAGCTTCTTGTTGAATTGGAACAACACAAGGGAGTGCAGCACTGCCAGGTATGCATTCCACCCCAAGAACTCACAGCGCCACAGATATCCAAGCGAATCCAGGACTCTCAAGGCCTCAATAATGTCCAGGCCAGTTAAGAATAAAGTAGAACTCTTGACAAAGGTCTGCCCCGGCCCCACACTGTTGTTCAACGTTAGCTGAGTGAGCAAACCACTGCAGTGACTGCTCGGAGCCAGGTGCGCAGCTGTTGCAGCACATCACAGATGCGGGACCCCCGAAAAGCTTGCAAACTGTTGGTGATATGCATCAGGCAGCGTTGACAGTACCTGTCCTGCTGGGTTTGGCATTCCTCCTGGACCCATGACAGGAGGAGGGTGAGGAGGCATCTGATCCTGCATGTGCTGGGGACCCATGTACGTGAAGTACTGTGGTGGATAAGCCATTTGGTATGGCTGGGGGTATGGCACATATGCCATCTGGTACTGGGCACCCTGCAGCACGAAAACAACTGTGAGCAAAACGATGTGGATGCCATTCTGTCCAGCATCTCTTGCTACTGCACTCTTGACAGATCTTGCTCGAACAAGTCTCACCGATGCAAGGTAGAATTGTGGCATTCCGGTGCTGAAAGGACTAAGGTAAAGCAACTTGTAGGCGCAAGATCGTAGAACAACACACACAAGGGAGTGGGGAAAGTCCACAGAAAAATGCAGCCAAATACAGCGCATACCATCGAATACAGATATGCAAGGGGTATGTCCTGAGCCCTCAGGGCACAAAATCACAATGTCCTTCAAGCTCACCGGCTGGGGGGGCATCGGAATGCGCGGCACGCTTGGACCGCCGGGCATTGCAATCTGCTTTACAAAACCTGCTGAACATACCAACGACAAAAGATGACATCGCTTCCTGTACATTGCAACTTACTCCAGTGGCCTGTCACAGTGTCATTGGCTGTATGGACCCCTCTTCATTGAACCAATTTGCTGCATGTCACACTCATCATTCCTCACATAACAGTCTCAGGCTTTCTGTAGCAACCACGCATCACACACAAACTTCACCATTTATGTCGAGATATATGGTACTTCTGAAGATTTTATGCCATAGATCAAGACAGGACATCAGGTGTCACAATCAAGCGTCACTATGGCAGCCATCCCTGCAGGAACCAACTCATGGACTGATATTCCTGAACCTGAATACAGTCTTACCAGTTTGGGAATTGTGCGGAACACCATAAGGCGGCACGACAGGGGCCTGTGGCACCTGCTGTGGCATGTAGCCAGGATACTGCATCTGAGGACTGTAGGCCACTGGCGGCCACCGCATGACACTCATTCCAGGGTGCATCACCGTGGTGGGCCATGCCTGCCAAAGAGGACACTTAACAAAATGGTCAGACACATGGTGAGTTTCACAAACAATAAAAAGGAACATTTTGGTATAAAGACAACAGCAACAGTCAACTACGACAGTCAAGTCCTGTGAACCTGGCAAGGCATCGTCTATGAGAGCCTTTTTGCAAAGGTGGAATGTTGCCAGGATCTCATACAATCACTGTCATCTACTGCTGATCTTATGGTCATAATTCAGGCATGGAATGCAAGAGGAGAGAAGGAAGACAGGTGGTGGTCAAGAATTAAAGATGTTCAACCAGCACTGCCAGTTCGTATGGGTTGGTCGTGAACTGTTTCAAACACTAGACATGCCCATGTTTCAAGGAGATCAAGAGAAGGAGATGCGACGAGAGATGAGTTGAAGGAGAGACTACACAGGTGGAAACAACACAGCCACAGCCCACAGCACATGGCCAGACACCTATTGCCCACCGCAAACAACAGGGACTGCAGGAATACACAACAGCAGTAAGCGGCAACTGCTGTAGTCACTCGTGTTCTTGCTGTAGCTTCTCCTCAATTACATACATTACATTTGATGACATGACAGAGCAACCATCCATTTCCCTGATCAACAATGTGACGATCTGACAGGGCCTGCCCTTGGGGCAGACCTTGGCAACCTTACCTGTGCACCTTCAGGGTAATGGGGCCTTGCGGGTTTGTCTGGATTGAACATGCCCCTTCCTGTGGGTGGTGGATGCCGTGGCCCCTTCTTGCCTGCCACACCCGCATTCCCTCCGTTGGTGACCTTGCGATGGCCAAAGGTCCACCTTTCTTGCCCCTATCCACAGTATCCACAAGGTCAGGAGTGTACAGATAGCCCTGCATGGTGTCCAACATCCGCAGGCTGCCCTCCAGAGCGACGCCCTTTGAATTGGACCAATGATGATGGGGAAGTCTATGAGCGTAGTAGGAAGCATGCCACACAGTGTAGCAAGCGCAACAGTGACATTCACAACGACAAGAGGCATAAGCAGAACTGCAGAATGCAGGCAGCCCCAATATCAAACATTTGGCCAGACATCTCACAAGCAGCCCACACAAAGTCTGATCTCCACGGTCAGTCAATAAGGTGCCAGTGAAAAGTGAAGGAATGAGTTCGTTATCACCATGCTGTGGCTCTCCCCTCCCGGGCTGCCCTCTATTAGCGGCACTCCAGCCCAGCCCATGCCCATGGGTCCGTGGCCCATGCCCCGTCTTGGTGTTCGGCGATGTGTATTCTGCATACAAAAGCCAACCAATATTCATTCCCGCCACTCACATCAGTCAAGGATCCCTTTCTTCCCTTGTTGGCCCACATCCCACCAACACACCCTGGCTCAACATTACGAAACCGGCACAATGCCACAAGCCTGTATGGCATGATAAACTGGCTGCAAGGCCCGTACAATAGATACGAATTCCCACATAGCAAGCAATGGATGCTTACACATAGACAATAAGTATATCGAAATTAACACAAGGCACTGTGCTCCCTGTGCTCCCTGCGGTAGATCTCCCATGCTCGCTCACCTGAGGGGCAGGTTCTGGTATGGGCACTGATGGCATAACATAGTCGTTCTGGGGAATCAGGAAGGGCGTCTCGCCAGAGGGGATGTCTTTCTTGGCAGGCACACTCTCCACCCCTGGCACAACATCAAATGCGCCGATGCTGCCTGTTGATGTCCCAACGAACACAAGGCCTGTGGGATGCCAGGCGATCGCTGTCACAGCGCCCCCATTGCCGTCTGGCACAGCACGTCCACTGCTGAACGATGGCACAAGGCCACGGCCCATGTTCTCGCTGGTGCCCATGGAGAAATTTGTTGAGTTGAACACCACGATTTGGCTGTCGTTGGCACCCGTGGCCTGGCAGCACATAGCCAAGACAGCTGGGCCTCACTCATATGCTGCAAAGCAACATGACTACATAGCACTGACCCACCTCTCCGATGTTGCACTGCCTCTGGGCCCAACAAGGTCACCATCATGGGTTACAACTGCCCTGTACAGAGCTCATTGATGTCAGCAGGCAGCACATTGTGTGCTGGACAAATGCATTGAACATGGAATCCAGCAGCAGCTTGACCACGATCAAGATACTCAGCACCCTGGCCCCTGAAATGCTGGGTTGATCCAAAATGCTGCCTGCCTGTAGTGGTCAAGAGGCAGCATATACATAGGGATTGAGGCTACAATAGCATCTGATGACTACATATTAGGCACCAACTCACCAGAAGCTTCCCAGCAGGTTGAAATGCCAGTGCGGTTATCTTTGCTTTCTTCTCGTGGCCAATGCACACAATGTAGTCATCTTTTCCATCCTTTGCATCTGTGCCGTTGTCGCCCATGTCCCTGCACACAACGCAAGCACACTTGCAGCCACGGCTATCCAGTTTTCGCTCAAGGTCCCAGAACTGCAATCAGCGGTGTGCAGCGCCACAGCTGATGCTACACAAGTGCATTCTACTGTCAGATCAGGGACTGAATACATAATGCATTGCTCTGCTTCCAGAAAATAACTCATTCCAACCAAAATGGATGGCCTACGGAAGTAGACACCTGTGCACAACACCAGCTCTTGGGGCGCTTGGCTCAACTTTGCATCAGCACGATGGCAAATGCCACACCAGGTGGCACCACCGAGGGTGTGTGGACCGCAGACAGGAACTTTGAAGGTAGTGATGCCCATCAACAAGCCAACATACCACACGATGACTTCGCTACCACCAGCTGTTGCCAAGAAACTCCCGCTCTCATCCCAAGCCAGGCAGCCCACCTGTCAAACGAGAAATTACTTGGAACGGGCGGCCGGTGTCCAGACATCAGCCCAACAATTCCATGGGCGAAGGGCAGCCAGTTGAATGACAAGAGCCGCACTCACAAGGTCATAAAGGAAACAATGCTCCAACAGTGCACACTGTGCTCCACAAACAGCCGAATACTGACTGACAAAATTTAGTGGCTGGAAGTGCCAACGCACTAGTGTTCTGATGGATATGTTGCTATCCAGATTATGGAACACAGGGCTTTGCTTGATGTTGCCACACACTAAGCACCAAGCAGAATCACTTCAGTTCAGATCAATCCGCCCTGTACTCACCTCAGCATCATAAGTGTTCTGGATGCCCTTTACAGACACTAGGCTTTGTTCCTCCTCATTTTCCAGGTTCCATATTTGAACCTGCAGGGCCGGTCAAACACAGCACAGCAAGTCTGGGCACATGCTACTCAAAACATGTTTGCACCTGCCTCCTGTAGGAAGGAAACAATGTAACATCGCACAGCAAGTGGATTCCCACAACAATGCTGCAGGACACCATGCTGCAGGATATTTATGGCTATTTCTCCGTCCACGTCTGGAACAGCCATTAGAGCAGGCCTTGGTTGCCTGAAGGACCAACAGCGCGCATGGGCACAAATCTCCAGACGGTCAGCAAAAACGAGTGAAACCACCACACGTGCTCCAAGCTGCGCCTCACCGAGCCATTGCTGCACCCTGCGGCCAGCAGTTTTCCACCAGGGGCAGAGGCCACGGCCGTGAGGCTGCCCCCGCCGTTCTCGGCGCTCAGCCCCGCGCCCACGTCGCACTTGTCTTCCGTGATTGTGAACATCTGTATGCCAGATCCCACAATCACCGCCAGCTCGTAGCTGGAGCGCCACTCCATGGCCACGACGGCAGAGATCAGCTGCTCGATCGTGTGCAGGTGGACGCCCCCGTGCCCGAAGATGCACACGCTCCTGCGGAACAGGTCACCTCGAGATTGAGCCGGACGCAGACCGGGTCACACACCATAAAGCTCCCCCACGCCACCACACCAAGCCGCTGCCGCCCCATGAAGCCAATCGCGAGAAAGCACGGCGCTCGGGGCCTTGCAGGCGGGCGCGCCGTGCAACGCGCCCGCCGTCGTACACCCCCCCCCCCCCCCAGGTTGCGCCGCCCTTCCTGTCCATTCGCGACCAAGTCAAAGATCTGTTCAAAGATTCGAGCGGAGACCCCGCACTTATTTCAGGGCGGCCCCTTAGCGCATCCCCTTCGCCACCACTCCCCGCGGCCGCTCTCAGCCCACGCGCCCGTCAGTCGCCGCCGGCAGCCCGGCAGTCCCGACCGTGCTCGGGGCGGGCAGCTGATCGCGGCCGCGGCGCGAACCGCTACCCGCAGAGTTGCCAGCCGGGCACACCACGGTAAATCCGCGGTAAGCAGCTCTTTGCTTCCACGCCCGCGCTCTCCCACGCCGCCCGCAGGTATGCGGTGGGCGGGACTCTCCCCACTGAGCGCGCCCGGCCGCCAGTTGAAAAGCAGGGCCGGGCGCCAGCGATTGGCCCTAAACCCACCACATCACGGTCGCCCTTCTCCCCCCGCCCGAGCGCCCCACCCACCAACCGGCGCGCAGCAGCAGACCAGCCAGGGCGACAGACTCGCCACGCGACCGAGCCCACCCACGGCCCAGGCACCAATGCCCGGCAATCTCTCCGCTGGCCCCTCCGCCCGCTCGCGCGATCCCCGCCCGCTCACCGTCCGCCCGTGGCCGCCACCAGCTCGCCCTCCTTCGAGCACGCCAGCGCGGACACCGGGGGCGCCTGCCCGCCGGCGCCCTCCTCCTCGCCCTCCTCGTCGCCCTTGGCCGCCGGAAATTGGGTAGAGGCCATTTCCTCCCCCGTGTGCACGTCCCACCACTTGAGGAACCCGTCGTTGGCGCCCGTTATGACCTCCTGGCCGCTGCGCGAGAACGCGAACGCGGTTATGCCCGCGGGGCATGTCCGCAGCTCGTGGCGCAGTTCGAAGTCGCGCTCGCCGGTGTACAGCCGCACGCCGCCCTCCGTGGCCGCCGCCACCACGCCCTGGGGGGAGATCTGGATGTCCCGCACGGGCCCGGCGCAGGTCGACCGCCACGCCGGCGCCAGCTGCATTCCGTCGTCGCACGGGAAGGAGGGGCCGTCGGGGCCGGACATCGGCATCTCGGGCCCCTGGGACTGCAAGCGGGGCTCCCTGCGCGCCTGGACGCCACCCGGTGTGAAATTGGGCGTCTGCGGGAGGGCGGAATGGGCGAAAAATCGCCTCCCGTGATTGGCCCCGCCGCTGGGGGGTGGATGGGGAGGACGTCGCGCCCGGGGACGCGGCTTATTCGCAGCGGGGGAAGGAATCCCGCGGCGGGTCGGCACGGGGCGGGGGCAGGGGGGGGCCGGGGGCCCGGGCGGGCGAGGGGTGTCCGCCGCTGCGTGGACGGCCGTCCTTGGGGCCGGGGGGGCTGCGCAGCGCGTCGGCGTGGTGTTTGTGGAAAAACGGCAAAATTTGGGGCCCCTTTGTACCCAGGGGGCTGCGCACCTTAGTGAAGTTCAGGGAGCGCGCCCGGCAGCGGCTGCCGCGTCAACCTCGGCGGCGAGACCGCGACGCGCGTCCGCGCGACACACAGTAATATCGTACTCATCTGGTGTTAGTATCGAATCGCCATCAGTGTCCACCACCTTCGCCTAGGGCCCTTGCCAGTGTGCACGTAAAGTAATGGCCCGCGTGCTGGCGTTGTCTCGGTGGGTGGTGGCTGGCTGTTTGCACTTCTTTCCCACGGTGTGATCGTGGGGAAGATGGTCGTTCGGCTTTTTAGTAGCCACAGGCCGGTGTGGAGTGCTTAAGAGCTTGGCAGTTAATCTCACAAAAAGGGCGAAGACGATGGCAAGCAGCCGCGGGGCGCCGGCCCATTCCGCATTCCGCGTCCGTACAGTTCCGCATGGAAATTCTTTCTGCAATCTGTCCATGCAATTTCGCACGGAATTTATTGCTTCATCCTGTGTCTTTACAACTCCAATGCAGATTTTTCTTGTTTGCATCCCATGTTCGTGCATTTTGTGCGGATATTTTGGCGTTTTGCTTCTGTGAATTTCTTGCAACTCCAGGCTGGTCCGTCGAGTGTGGTGGATCGCCACTTTCTGCCTCAGTGCGTCTATTAGCCCTCCAACTCCTACCCCGCACTTTGGGTTCGTTTTCATGACTAGCACAAATATTCCAGGAGTTGCTTGTGGTTCAAATGCATGTGAAAGACACTTGTTCCCTGGTTGGGGAAGTGCCTGGACTAACAGGCAGAGCATGCACACTTTGTTCAATTCAGACAACTGAACAAAACAAGTTGATTAAAGCGGCCTTTTTCATTCCTTTTCAGAGAGTGAGTATGGAGTAGTACTCCTTCAGCCTAGTTCGCCCATACCTACATTGGTAATTTGCTTATTCCCACGTGCTAGGTGTGTGACGCGTTGCTTCATTCTAAACTGTGCAGACTCCTCTATTGTTGTCTCATCACCAGCCCCTCAAACAAGTTCAACAAAAGCTCATGGGCAACCTAGATGACAGCAAGACAGTAGATAATCGAGACAACAGCAGGTGACGGCGTAACAGATTGTTCATGGACCACACGCCCAGTAGTGGTGTCTTAAAGAATGGCTCCAAATGCACATCCACCATTTCTTCACAGTCTCCTATTTGAGTTGACCAATATCACGCCAGGTTGGAGAGCCTTTCGACAGCATACTTACCATTGTTTCGCATCACACCACAAGCTACTCATGAGGTGTCCAGAAAGCGCACATGCCACATTTGCTCTTTCCACAAAGTTCCCAAGCCTTGCAGCTGCAACTTTGTGAATTCAGATCGGCATGAATGTGCTGGTCAGCCAAAAACATGCTGGCTGTTCTTCTCGCGTCTGCACCCCACATATTCTTCCAGTGCGCTTATATCGCTCGCTTGCAGCGTTTTGGGGTCGTCTGTGCCAATCCCTTTGTTTATGGCGTTGCATTGCCCAAGCAGTCAGCATGTGTCAGACACGTGTTCCGCGTTGAGTGCAGGGACAACACTACTTGCGGTGAATTTAACAAATACCTACACACAGCCTCTACTTCTAGACCAGAATTAAATTCAGGGTAGACACGTAATGCGTGGCAATGGCATGCGCATCCCCGGCCTGGCGTAAAGCCGAATCCTCCCTCCGCCCCTGTTCTAAACGTGGCGGAGTCCCTATGGGTGTGTGATCGCGAGTGGACCTCCCCGCCTGCCCTTTATTCCCCCCTTCCCCCATCAACAGGGCACTCACCCACAGAAGGGAAGCCGCAAAACTAACAGGAGCCACTCAGTCATTCCTACACGCACATCTCCGCGTCGCCCGTGTCCCAAGTTCCAGTCAATAGACTCCCCCCCCGGCCCCCCCAGTGGGGAAAAAATGCCTGCGCAAGAACAAGAAAAGCAGCGCGCGGATCACTCGTAAACGCACATGGGCGCGTCGCCAAGATACGCCTCCGCAAGTCGCCGCCCCTCCTCCGTGAGCTGCGTGAACGCCAGCTCGCGTCGCGGCACGACGTAGCCGAACAAGGCGTGGCCGCGTACGGCGTCCAGCTGCCTGCTGGCCACGCCCCGCCGCCTGTGGCGCAGGCACACCCACATCGCGCGCACGCCGCAACTCACACGCACGGGCCGGCTCTTGTCGAGCATCAAGACGCCGCGATCAGCCGGGCCGCGCCGCCCCCGCCCGGCGGGCCCCGCAGTGCGCAGGAGCCCCGATTTTGCCGGCGTCCGCACGTTGAAGATTGATCCACGGGGCTGGCGGTTGGGCCCATCCCCACCGTTGTTGTCTGCATCGGCGCAATGCGTCTCGACCGGTCGAGGCATGGGACCGAGCGGACCGTAGGCGCCGCTCACGGAGTCGACCTCCTCGGCCGTGGACGCAGGGGATCTGCGTGGAGTGTCACGCCCTGCGTTGCGATCAGCGCTGCGGTCCTGTTGGCCTGCACCGGCTTCTTGTGGCGTGCATGCGAGGGGCCTGCGCAAGGCGGGACGGTCTGAGCTACCATCCGCGTTGCCTTCGTCGCCGGCGGCCCGCACGGAGGCTGAGGAGCTCATGGGTGTCATGCTCAGCGGGCCGGTGGGGGATGCGGGGACGGGGCAGGAGGAAGGCGTCATAGGCGTCGAGCCCATGACGCGAGACGCGGCCGGGGCCGGGCTTTGGCAGCCACCTGCAAACGTGATGAAACGGCAGTCAAGACACGTGGAAACTCTGCGATTTCTCTTGATGGACGAATTTGGACAAGAACCGTGCGGAAGCCGGCATGAAAATCGTGTACAAACTGTGTAATCTTCTTGAAGGATTGACTGACAAATCGTTGTGCCGCGCCACAGGCACAACGTCCTTTTGTGCCAGCAATCCATCACAGGACAGCAATTTGGTGTAGTTCGATGAATGTGAAATGTAGCAACTTGGGCATCACGTTTTCGCTTGTTGCACAGTTTGCGTTTGCACCAGCACGGAAACCGCTCCATGACAGTGCTTTGCTGTTCACCGAGGGATGCTCCTTCCCCCCTCCCCCTCATGCTGCTCTATTGCATGGTAATGAAACATTTGCCTGCAAAGATGCACGATGCTATAAATAATGTGTCAGCTTGGCTACACGAAGCCCAGCCTTCTTGTGCTGAAAAATTGAAACAGCAAAACGATGTCCCTCCAGAAACACAGGAACAGCAATGATGGCAAAACTTAAGACAACTGCAAGTGGTAGTCCCAGATATATATGTGTATCTGTCCCTGCATCCCATGAAAGCCACACTTGCGCAGCGGTGAGCGCAGATGGGCGGCGTCTTTCAGCTGAGGCTGGCCACACAGGATTGTGGGGCAATAACTGCGTCCAGTGGAGGTGCAACAAACCTCTCTAACTCAGGCCATATGTTGTGAACACACACTGGCACTGGTTCCACCCACCCGAGAGCACCACCCTGTATGCTTGGGTGACACACTCCACAACAGCACACCCAATGACTCGCTGATCTGCGATGTACAAAAACACCTGCAGAACAGCACACAGGTGGAGGGCCGAGTCACGGTTGGGGCCAACAAAACTGCTGTGACAGATATTGTTTTTATTGCCAGCAATGTTTGCTCAGGATACCGGTGCTTTGGCTGCATTTGCAAGATGGAAGGGGGCAGCTGCAAGAATTGTTGGTCTCAAGCCTAAACCATCGACAGGAGCTGAAAAACAGCAGAGAAAGCTGAAAAAGCTGAAACCAGCAAGGCCAAATCAAAGTTTGGCACTTGGGACAGTATAAGCCATCATTTCTGTTCAACCAGCAGCCATTTCTTACAGAGTCCCAGAGCACACATGAACTGTGGCTGTACACCCATTTCTGTATTCTGTCCCATGGTTTTTGTGCTCGCCTTTGGTCACCTTGCTGGCATTTTTTAGTATCCAGTCCTTGGGTGTCCCAAGGTCTTCCTCAATCAGATGGCACACATCTTGGACCTGGATCACAGTGCACATTGTTAGGGCTTTGCGGTTCCCAAGGGTGAAGGTTTCTTAGAGAGCAGATGCTCGAGGAGGCAAACAGTGCTTTCCTGCATTGGCATGCACAGCACTTAGAATTCATGGCATGAGCCCCTTGCTGAAAGCTCTAAGCCAGTCAGGAGGCGCAGTCGTCTGGTTTCAAGGGCCACAAACACCACTAAGAAATTGAATAGCTTGCAAATTTCACTGCACCGATTTAATACCCAGGCACAAGGGAGGCTGCAGCCCCAGCTCCCTGGCAACTTCTGCTCAAGCAATGTCAAGTGATCAATGATTGAGTGGCAACAACGCTCAGAAGCAGAGGTCGCCATGACATGCACCGTGTGGCCCACCTTCCACCAGTGCAAAGGAGGATCCTCTGGGGTGACGATCACCACCCTTTCCTGGCCCCTGTCTTGCCAGATCATGCGCTCAGAGGCCCAACCCTGAATGGCACACAGGTGCATTGTTGTGTACTCGAATTCTTGCACACTTCCACTTGTGACAAACCTTCATTGGAGCCTTTTGCAGCACTTCTGGCTTTCTTGTAAAACGGCAAAAGTTCCATACCTCTTCTACATGGAGCGTGGCAGCAACTGATGTCTTGCGTGTCATGCAATGTTCGAGAAGCAAAACGAAGGGAAAAACACAGCAACGGAACTGCAAAGGCATTTAGACATAGAAGGGGATTTTCGCAAAAAGCTTGATCCAGGCAAGTGCCAAATGGAAGGAATCTTCCATTTAAGAAAATATTAGACCCTAAGATTACATGACAAGCAGTATATGAATTAAAAGCCTAACTGGTTTTCATCATCTTCACCCGGATTGAGAACGCTGGCAACCACTGTTTCATGACACAAAGCTCCTGCTTTCATTAAAGCGCAGGCGATATGTCCTCACCTTGAACTTTACCCCTTCCAACTTTTCGGTGTGAAATCGCCTGTGCACGTCCTCATCTTCTTTGATGCCAATGGCATATCTCATCCCACAGACACGGCACTGCTTTGAATCGAAATCTTTCTGCAGGCAAGACAGCACACCATAACTGCCACCGAGCTGGAAACCATTGATGGTGTTCAGGCAAAGTAGATTCTGGGCACTAAACAGTTGTGATATGCTGCTGTAAAGCTAACAACAAAATTCCGGGCATCCTCCACGTTCCTCTGCACTTTTCCTTTGAATTTCCCATGACTTCACTTGTACCCAGCATCTGCAGGGTTCAAAGCGATGCTCACTTTCTGTTCTCTCATTTGTCTGTGACACTATCCTCCATGTTTTGCAGAGTGAATGGATATGTTGAGCCAAACACTACAGGCTTTTACGGTTGACTATTTTGCATTCACTGCCTCTGTCAACGAAATGCTTGGCCTTGGCCAACTCTGTCATCTCTGCTGTTTCCACAACATCAAACTGTCCAACGCCCCTCCATGCATCCCCTGCATGGGGAACCTCCTCACCTGACCAAAGTCGAGGTGCAGCTGCACAAGCCTCTGTGGTGTGGGACCCTCCGCCACGGATGGCCCGACGTCCGACACCAACCGTCTCGATTTGGCACGCTTGGCGTCCGACCCAGGAGTGGTGGTCGATTGGACAGCCCCACAAGACAATGCTCTGCGCACAGGCATGCAATCAATGCTGCAGTCCTCCAGCTGACAGCTTCTCTTTGGTTGTCAGCATACCCTCAAACCCAAGGCCAAAATGCTGGAAGGGACTGTAGCCGCACCAGAAGGGCTTTGGCGTCGATACATTTTCACTTGTTATTTCAACTTCCGTCACAAATTTCTGCGTTAATAAGGTACAGAAAAGCACATGGAGGAGGATCAGGAACGGACCCGGCTGTTGTAGACCAAGATGGGAGTTGATCCCGTCCCCTGGCCCGTCTCCGGCTTCCATAACTGCGGTATAACTGGGGTTCACTGTCGACCACATGTCCCTCGCTACTCGATTGCGGTTCTGTAATTTCTGCGTTCTACTTTTCCTTCACAAGGAGACTTTTGCAGCTCTGCGCACGGAGCGGAAAGCAGCTCCACACTAGCCAATGTTCAGGAGGACCCCGGGGGAAACTTTGCCACATGCTCAATTTCTGGTCATCAGACGGTCTCACCCCAATCCATTTCGGCCGACGCCACAGCCGAAAGGAATGGATGGCTCACACTGGGTGAGATGAAGGAATGCCGACGGCGGGCCCTGCAGGGCCCCTTGCGCACCTCGCGGCGGCCTTCTTCGAGAAGTAGGTCTTGATGTGCGGCCCCGGCCTCGGCCGATCGTCCGCGCCGGCGCCCTCCGATCCACGCCCCTCAAAGCGACCCATCCCAGGCCCGTCGCGCCTGCTCCTCTTCCCCAGGATCGTGGCCCCCGTCGATCGCCCATCCCCGACGAAGAAGTCGGCGATAGTCTTCCCGGAGACCATCCGCCTTCGGCCCCCGGGGGGGGGAAGCCGTAGCGGCGAATGGGCTCACAGATTGCGGCGAGGGTGGGGGGGTATTGGATCACGCTGAGGGCATCAAGGAAGATAAGGGGTGACGAGCGCTGGGTCGTTGAAGCTGCAGTGGGCCGGTTGTGCACGGAGGGCAGGTCGGCGCCGCGACGGCAAGGGGCACAAAAAGCGCGGGAAAGTTTTTCTGTCGCGGATGGGAAGGCTCCTGCTGGTTTGAAAAATGTTCTGTGGGGGGAAGCTGGTGGGTGCCTGGGGCAGATGAGAACATTGTGCTCGCGAAATATCTACATGTCGGGCGAAAGGCAAGAGGTACTGGTGGAGTACCGATGGGCGCCAGCTGCTCATTGTGCCCGAGGAAAGCAGACTCCATTTTTGATGTTCGTGCAGCAAAAGAAATGAAAAACGAAGAATCAAGAAATTTCTTTGTGCATTTGAAGGGCTCTGCCTTGAAGCAGCGTCTATGGTCCGTTCAAATGGAGAACCTCAGAGAAAGGGCAAAAAACGATCTGTGAGTGCGGCCACGCTTGGTTTTATGGAAGAGGTCGACCCGGCAACAAGGGGCCGCTGTACTCGGCTCAGCCATGCAGACCCAATTTTTTTACGATAGATTTTCTTGAAGTCCATTCATGCCATGGTCCAACTCACAATGAGGTGGGGTGGTTCATCGAGGTGGATTGGACATTTCCTGGAGGGGGCTCTGGCAACTATTGCCCATTTCACAGCATTTCTAATTGTGTTCAATCTGTTGACCTGACCTCTTAAATTTAGAGGTCCCACCCACAACGTCCTCTACGATGTTCAATACCCTGGGTAGAAGTAAACGAACACGGACAAGCACCACAGTAAGTTCCTTCAACATGGTGAATCATGACACACGCATATAGAGCATTGCATACGCACACATACAACTGACATGACTAATGTCGACATTGCCTGCCGCCGCACAGCCAGTCGTTCTGCATGGAGCACGCGGACATGATGAATCTGGCACCTTAAACCGGCCCCGCCGTTCGACATTGGTGGAACCAACCTTCGACATACACAGCAGACAGTATCGGGAGTGTCCACGGCACTGCCAAACCACAAATCCTTTAATGTTTGTCCCCAGCAGCTGCAGAAGCGGCTCCATTATCCGCGCAGGACAGTAGATTTCTCAGAGCCGAAGGAATGGTCTTCGCCTTCCCGATTCTCTTCAGGAGAAAACGGCTCACAGAGACAGCTGAGGCAGCCTCATGTGCACCAACTTTGCGGCACAACAACTTGCACATCGCTCTGTGGTTGCAGTCTGCGTTTCAGCCCTGAAATCGCCAGTGAGCATTTGCAGGAAATCCCAGTCTCGAATCCACGGTAATCCTCGCTTAGACGCCAATGATTGATGCAAACATCGCAAACAGTCAGTATTACAGCCCCAGAGACACGCCGGTTGCCTTTTCCCGCCGGCCAGTTGCATTTGACTTGTTCTCCTCAGGCTTGATTTTTACGCCGTAAAAACTGATCGTATTTACGTTTTTACACGTAAAAATAGTTTTTACGTTTTTACGCGTAAAAATGCGTAAAAATACGTAAATACAACGTAAAAACTGCCTGGTGTACATAAGGACAGTACATATAGATTTACAGAGTTCGGAGAGTGGCAGCCAGACGCCTTGGAAGAGGCAGAAAACGAGTTTTTGCTAAACGCCATTATCGCCCTTGCCACAGGCGAGGTGGACATTGTGCTCCGGGTGATGGAGATGGCAGAGGACTGATCATTGTATGCAACTTTCATCGTGTAAACTACGTGTGCCAGGGAGCCGTAAAAACGTAAAAATAGCCGTAAAAATGGGGCCCTTTGCAAATTTACGTTTTTACGCGTAAAAACGTAAAAGTAAAAACGTAAACGTAAACGTAAAAACCAAGCCTGGTTCTCCTCTCAGAAAAAGAAGCTAGGCTTGCTGGGTGCGATCCGCAGGAGGGGCGCCCGGCCAAGGGCCAGCACCACCTGGTCTTACACGCGAATCACCCAAAGCACCATCGCGCTAACATGCGCGACGTCGCCTGACGAATTGCATAGCCTTGCTTAAGAACTCAAAGGTGGTCAACATGAATCCCTTGAATGCGGAATTCGCACGGTGGTGCTTAAACATCGAGCAACAATCGAACCAATACAATGATGCCGCCTCCTGGACGGGTCTCAGCTCCCCGCACCTCCTGCAACGCCCAACGAAATCTGGGCCGCCGATACACACACACCTCCAACGCCACACCCCTCGCTCTGCCTTCGCTAATGGGCTTTTGGGCACCCCCCGCAAGACGCCCTGCACCGTTCCCCAATCACCTCGAAGCTAATACCCAAGAAAATTACCACCCGGTCTTCAAGGCCTAGCCCCTTCGCCCCTGGCGGCGCTGCACATAAGGGCGCAAAACGCCACTCCAAAATCCCGCGAAGCGCATGGCGGCATTCGATACCCCTCTCTCGCACCCTCGCGACATCTTGTGCCAGACCATTCACAGCGGGAAGACCAGTGAGCGCGCCTGTCGACGACAAGAGCCTGCCGCGCCGTCCGGATATCGCCACCCCAATGTGATGATACCGTTGCACAGAGTCCTGACGGCACAAAGATGCTGCGCCTTACGCCCACGTGGCACTATATGACGGTCGACCCGGAGAGTCTGCGCCTGCGTCCTCTGAAACGCCGCCGGCCCTCATTTCCTCGATCTTCTCGATGGCTATCTTCCGCTCCAATGCGAACAGCATCTGCAACCTTTCCAGCTCCTGCGGGTCCGATACCTGTGCGATGATAGCGAGCGCAAAGTTCATGCCCACTCGCTCACACACTTGGCCCAAAGTGTGCATCTAATCTATTCGTTTTCAACCAATTTTAGTCAACAAGCCACACTTCACTGTAATATATAGCTCACCACTGGCACGCAGGGGTGCGTGCAGCAAGGCTTCTGGGAGGCTGCATGAAACCTGAGTATCGCGCACATCACATTTACATGAGTGAACAAGAGTTGACGTTGCCGGGAACGTACTGGAGCTGCTCCCCCGCCTATTTAGATCCATTGCAGAGGACGTCAGACTCTGGAATGAGAACTGCACACACAGCGACATCGATTGCCCTCGCTCTATTCTACGACGTCACGAATGGCCACAGGTGTGTTTTCTCAATTGAAGAGCAATTGAGCGCTTTGAAGAGCTGATAGTCGCCTGATTGTATTGGTGCGGTCACATAATTCTATTGCGACGCAGTAGAATAAGAGAACACATAGAAAGAACACGCCGTGTTCTAGACTATATGTGTCCACCGACTCTATCAGATCGTAACAACCTCGCAGATGACTGGCCCACTAGTTTTACCACTTCGTCAATTGTCAATAGTCGAATATTATTTCCCTTGGACCACAACGCATCATTTCGCATCTTCACATCATCTTCACATCATTCCTTTTTAATTTCATTTCGCATCATTTTGCATGAACAAAAACAAACAAGTAGCCCATGTGCACATTGGATTACTGCAGGTAGTCGGTCACCCAATGGGGACGCCTGCCTTAAGAATCGACTGTTCTTTCGTTCCGCACATTGTCACCATCCCAATGGCCCAGAACCGCTGGTTTCCAAAGCCAAACATAAAACCAAAAACAGCGAAGCAAACATTCCCAGCTCTGTAGTATAAAACTTGCATCTCCTTTAAGAATGTGGGCGGCAACTCCAAACCAGGAAGTGATGCAAATATTTTGCGGCACAAATTCTTTGAAAATCCGCAGCCAGCTTGTATCAAACACAAAATTTGTGAGCACTAATTCAGATGGCGGCCGCCGCGTGCCCCACCTGCGTGAGCAGACTCTGCCTTTCCATTTCTTTCGCCACCTCCCCATCCAGCGCCTCCTTCACCTTCTGCTCTTCCCAATCCGGCGTCCCCGTGGCCATGCACTCGCCCTCGCTCTTGGCCGTCTCTCCGAGGCCATCTGCGACGGTGTCGTACAACTCCAGTTCGCTCAGCCCGGCGGAAGCCGGAGGGAACATGGTCTCGCCAGCCAGGGTCTCCTGGCCCCACGAGCTGGGGTCCCAGAATCGCGAAGATGACTGAAAATACAGGCAGAAGTTGCATGAATCACTTGCAACATTCCATTCTGGTTTATTCTTGTTGATTATTGATTATTTGCTTCCCTTGGGTAGTAGAGAAGCAGTCCAGCTGCGGCGATGTGAACTCAAAGTTTTCAGTTTCACCTGGCACGCGTCGTTCTGCTCCAATCGATTTAATCAAGGACTTACGACATACGTTTTGTCAGTTGCCTCCAACGCGGAAAGATATGAATGGCGACAGTGCCTGCACTTCAGTCTCATTGACCGTGCCTGTCATGAACGGAAGCCGTGCTCACACCTGAGCTCGATGTGGCTTGGGGGCTGGTCGTCCTCTCGCAGGCGCAGAGCGCGGCCTTTGCGTCTTGAGAGAATCCTGGACAAGCCCGCAACAAATAAAAAATCATCAGTATCTTTGAAAGACCCAATGGCATCTCCCTTGTGCGGCAAAAAATCACAGCAGAGCAACAGAACAGTAGGATCAAAGAACTTAAATATCCGATTCGACATACAGCACAGACGAATGTTTGACTTGGCCACGCTGTCGTTGCCAAATGGAGCTATTCGAAGGTTGATGTCGCGGGAAGTGGCGTTGTGGGGAGCGCCTCTCCCGCGATGTGTACAACGTGGCTTAGCTGGACGCCTGAGCCTCGGCACTGCGCACGCATGGCTCACATTTGCACGTTTATTGCATGCTCGTTTTTAAACAACCAGCTAGCGCAGAGCGTCCATCAAGGAATTTTGCCGCAGCGGGGCTACCATCAGTGGCCTATTGCCATGCGACTATCCATCCATTTGACCCCGTTCAAAGCACCGTCGAAAACGGCACAGATCACGCCGACTGCGGTGGTCGCGATTACCAGGAAGGCTGACACTCCGTGCGAGCTGAGCCCCAGAACGTCCAGTTCGTCCAGCTCATCCAGCCTCCCCGTCCTCTCCATGCGCTCCAGCTTCTGGCGCACCTGCTCCTCCTGCATGCGCATCTCCCTTCGCGCCTCCTGCAGGGCCTGGAGCACGTGATCCCGCTGCATTTGGAGCCTGTCCGCCCTGTCCATCTTGTCCTGTCGAGGCAGTGGCACACCCTCCTTGAGTTGCATTCGAGGGCGGGCCTCCATTTACTGAATTCTCAGACGCCGGCGACGCGACGCGCCGAGGTTTGCCCAGCATAACTATTTCCGCTTATGAAAATGGTGGAGGCAATATGAAGGTGCTGAACGGGAGCCTGAAAATCCTCACATTCCTAGGCCCTGAATTGGCAACTTTCTCGTCCGGAAATGAAGGGTACAAGGGCCCCAAATCCTAAAAGATAAAATGTCCAAGGCATGAAACGACCTTCACGTCCCTCAAAAGAGGGAAGTTTTGAAACCCTTCAAATGGCCGAAATTCCGACATTTTCTAACACGTGGTGCATGTGTGGAGAGGCGGCACGCAAAGCGAAGGAGGCGGATTCTCTTCGGCCGGGAAAAGCCATCGCAGGTCGCGATCAGCGTGCAAGCGCGGCCATTCCTTGCCATTTTCCCTCCCAGAGTGAGATATCGCATCAGCATCGCATTCTATTATTATCACCTAATTGCTAGCATTGTTATGTCGACACCAGGTACCCGCCAATCAACAGGTCCTGTTGATTGACATTAGATGCATGCCGCTTCGAAACGGAACACATAATTGCGGAACAGGAGCGCCGCCACACACGCACGAGGAATCTATTTCCCTCCCCCTGGCTGGGCAACGACTCATGAAGGTCCGAGCGCGCCTGCACAGCACGCTTCTATCTGCCACACGCTCATACACCAACCGTGCGGCGTGCGATTTTCGCTTTAGTCGCTCCACGTTGAATGCTGGCAGCAGCAGTCCAGCTCGGCTCCACCTACCAGGATCTTTGTGAGGCGCCGATCCCTGTCTTCCTCGTCCCTGGCTGCCTGCTCCTGTACTTTGGATCCGATGAATTCGTGCCTTCGCATCGAAGCCGTGGACTTCGCTCTGACGGCCTCTTCCTGCTCCTGAAGGCGGAACGGAGAGTGTGTCGATGAATTTGTGGCATTTTGTTCCCCGTAGTTGCCAATCTGACTGCATAGAGACCCCACTTCGTTCTTCTAGGGAATTTGAGTCGGCAAAGACGAACAAGCGCGCTCGCTGCGCCTGGCAGTATCGGCTGCAAGTGCTCAGGCGTGTTGTTGCATGTCATGCACACATTACGCGGAGACAATTCTGCATGCTGGATCTCCTGAAGCCGACGTTCTCAAAAGCCTGGTCGACAATGAATCCAATCCACAGACGGGTGTTGTGATCCTAACAACATGTTGGTGGGGGGTTAAGGGATTCCATTAGACACACTTGAAACCGCAACTTCGCTGCACCATGTTTTGGTAGATACACTCTGGCCGATACATCGAGAGTTAATAATGTGTTGAGTTTTGCCAATTTGATGCTGCGAATATTGCGCCTTGCATCCTGCAGGCGATGGCTCCCTTGCCAAGCGCATCCAAAGGGCTCAAACTGCCAAGGACACTGCACCGCAGCCCATCCCACCCACCTGCCTCCTCCTTGCCAGTGCCTCCTCCTTTCGCTGCTGCTTCATGTAGAAGTTCACAGTCCTGGAGTGCTGCTCCTCGTCCGCACGCCTCCTGGCCTCTTCTCGGCGCTTCTCCCTCAGGGCCTCCTGCTGGCGACGGGCTGCTTCCTCCGCCTTCCTCTCCTTCATTCACACTAAAGTCACACTTTAGTCACGCCCCGGTCGGCAACGGTCGCTCACGGACGCTCTCCAGCAGCGACGTTGCAGAACGCCGGGGCCAGCGCCACTTTCGTGGGTATTCAGTTCTAATGATTTGCTGCGCGCTTACCCGACGGCATTTGTACACCTGTTTACCGCAAATGCTTTTCTCAATAAAAGCCCAGGTGTAGTTTGGTGGGGCTTACAAACGAGGCTGGTCTGCAGTTGAATATTCTGGAGATCCTCGGTGGCAGTTCAGCAGTTGATAAGGTGCTGAACATCGGTTGTTACCGATGGTTCCTGAACGCGAACGGGGCCGCAACGTCCTCTCTCGACTATGTGTTGCTTCCCTTTGTATCCCTTGGGGGGGGGATGGTCATTGCTGACGAGACGTGCGAGATCGCCCTCAGCGACCCAAGTTAGCATTCCCTTGCACACAGCAAAGCCTGGAGCCCGACTCCAGAAAAGTGCATAGGCTCCGGCAGATTTCTCTCCATCCATTTATTCTGAGGTTACGTCCAGAGAATATAAACTGTGTGGATTGAAGCATTCTCGTCATCGTTCCAACCGCAGAAGGGCAGAAGTTCCCCAAATGCTCATTCAGAATTCCTCAGGAATGGCCACATCTTGGGCGACACGGTAGGATCATTCGCGATGTAGAACCCAGCGCATTTCGCGCCGACATATTCGCTGCAATGGCGCCGCGGCCTCGCAGCCTCCATCAGTAATTCTTATTCCCAGGAAACTTCATTGCTTGTGGCTGCTCAGCCCCATTTCATCCATTTCCGAAAGATCCGCATCCCGTTACCACCCGCAACTCCAATCGGAGCAACGGCACAAGCAGCAACACCATGAGCTATTCCTGTCTGGTTCCGGTCCTTAACGGCCTCAATCATCGCACAGTTCGCCAGGCAGGACATTTCCGTGCGCGGTCCCACCTCCGATTTCCGCATCAGAGCGTCCTCCATGGCCATCTGCTTGGCCACGAGGACCTGCCGCCGGTACTCCGCGTTGGCGGCGCTCATCTCCCTTATCTCCCCCCTGCGGAGGTCCACCTGGGCAGCGCGGAGCCTCTCGGCCTCCTGCATCTCCATCTTCTCCCTGTGCTTTGCTTCCTGCGGACGCCGCGGAGCCACTTCGAGTCAGCTGGGTGTCGCTTTGCTCGGTAGCCGTGTGGCCCAGGATAAATACATGGAATTCCTCCAGGTCTTTGAAAGCTGAGTTGTTGCAGGTTCTCCATCATTTGCCGGTTGCCAGCCACTCTGGCCAAGTCACTCGGGGGGTGAAAATCCTGAAGAACAAGGTGTGCGGCGAAGACGTACCAAGTTTACAGTCCATGACCTGGTAAATTTCGGTAAAGTAAAACGTAAAATGTAAAGTAAAATGTAAAGTAAAATGTGTAAAATTTGGCACTGAAGTTGGCGTCAGCTCGAAAACTCGGCGTCTTTGATACACCATGTCTGGCGCGAGGACATTTCAAATTTATCGCAGCAGAGCTGCTTTGAATTCACCAAAAACCGCACTACAATAAACATTGCAATATGTGCAGTATATACACATGTGCATAACAAATAAAGCGTACATCCCAATGCTCTGTATATCGCTGTACGGCTATATACAGAGCATTGGGATGTACATTTTTCAATAAGCATTGTATTAGTTTGAATGCAGCACTGCATTCAAAGCGCAGAGAAATGGCGACGGGCTGCATACGGGTGCAACTTCCTACCGCTCGCAACTCCGCCTCCACCAGCTTCCTCTGCAGCTTCTGCCTGTTATCTTCCAGCTTCTCCTGCATTATGAGTTGCGCCTGCCGCCGCATCCGCTCCACCTGCGCCTGCCTGTCAGCCTTCTCGGCAATCTGGCTCATGCGCTCCCTCTCTTTAAGCTTCACCCTCATTTGTGCCTGCCTCTCGCGGTCCTCCCACGCCAGCCGCTGCGCGTGCTGCAGATCCGCCTTCTTTTTCAACTGAGGACGGCTGCATTCAACGTCAGGCATGAGGGGAGGGGAGAAGCATGTATGCGCGAGCGCATCCAGGGGAATATGGCGAGAGCGGCTGGCGGACTGTGGCATCGGATTACACGGTTCACAAAACGAATGTGACCCCATTTCAAGGCAGCTCATTGCCATGTACCAGCGCCATTTGCACATAATGTTTGCTGAAAATGGAATTACCTGTTTTGCTCATGTTTATGAGCAATCGATACGATTCGCATCAAAACAGGGCTTTTGAGGCACGGTAACATCCTGCGCGAAAATGACGGGTTTCTGCTAAATTAGCACGTTATCTGCATGGAATGAGCATTATAGGCAGTTTATCAGGGCAAGTCGGTGGCCCTCCGCGCTGATGGCCATGACGCTAGCTGCTTGCGTGTTCTTCCGCTCGTGTCATTGGTCAGCGCTGTTGCATTCCGACAACGATCGTGATGGAATGGATGCATCGGGATGTGTCGGGAAAAACTGCGGCCATTCTGCAAATAACAGCCTCTCATGTCCCGCATAATGTCAATACAAAATCAAGAACGAAGTATGAGAATTTAGTACACCCACTTCGCATGAAGATCTTGTTATTCACGTCAATGTGGTAAAACTTGTTCCAAGCTATATAGTAGTCAATGGTAATAATTTGGTGAAGAATATCAACAATCCTTCCTCGATTACGTTTTCTCCCCATTCCTTCGCCAGCGCGGCCGCACGGTGCCGCTGCTCGTCGAAGGTGCCAACGAATGCTGCGACGGACATCAGCAAGGTCACGCGCGGCGAACCTGTTGGATCCTCTTTATTTGGCGAAGCTGCTGCTTGTATGCGGCTTCTTTCAGCGTCTCCAGGAGGCTGGTGTTGCAGCCAAACACAAACGCCATCACACAGCCATCTCGAATTCTACCCCAGGATATCGTTTACTCTATCCCATACACTTCTGCGCACTGAATAAGTTTTGCGTGCAATCCACTTGATATCTCGCATGGAAATATTGTAAATCCAATTCCGCAACTGACTCTCGTGAAAATTTACGTATTGTGTTACAGTGGATCATATGAGCCATATATTTTATACCGGGCAACATTAATTGATGAAAGAAATAAGTCTCTTTTCCCACCTTCAAAACCCAGTTCTGGAAGCAAAAAAGCCGCTACCATGAGTGCCTCAGCTGTCAATTGACAGCTGCTTGCCAGCAAGCACTCAACAAATATGCAGCTTATTGCAGTAAATCATTCAGCTGAACAAAATACAAGTAAACTACACTAAACTAATAGGTTAAAATGGTGGGAATGTTGCAAAACTGCCAAAAAGACTGTGCCCATATTTTCCCTCATCCTCCAGTTCTTCCAATCCGTCAGTCTTTCAGTTGACTAATAACGGTATTTACCCTCCCCCAGTGTCCGAAGAATTCAAAGACTGGAATGCAAGTAGCGGCCAGCTTCAGCTTGAGCATTCAGCACTCCTTCAAGAGTCGATTCCAGAAAATAACGAGAACGAGAATGCGAAATAAAATGATATTATAACAAATATCGTTCAGAATCGGTGCACATGTGCGGTTCCGAAAGAAACAAAAGAGAGGGTCACACCTGGGCGTCAGCCCCTCGGTGCCCCCACTTGGCCCGGTCCCCTCAAACGAATACGTCGTCATCATTTTAAACAGATGGGCTTCGAAACAGCGATCCTGAGAAACGCGAAATTTGGCTTAGACGGCACTGAAAGAGTGGGTTGGGCCGGATTCACAAAAGAATCTGGGCAGAATGACAGTCTTTGTGGCAGGGGCAGAGCGCCCCCGTCCTGCGCTCCACCGAGTCCCATGCAAGCCCAAGCGTGTCGACGGCCGCTGCCAGAAGCATTTGTGAGGCGCAGTACATCGGAGTGGGGAAACAGTAAGAATTGGGAAACCACCGCCGCCCCTCATCACGAGCTCGAGTCCACAGACTGACAAGTTCAGTGTGCCTGATCACACTGGCCGCCACAAACTGGCTGGCCGAGTTGCAACCCGACGGCGGAGAACTGTTGCTACGATTCTGCTGGTCGCTTCGGCCGGAATGAAGCCCTTTTTGGCCCTGCGCACGCCAGGTGGCTCGCTACATTCGGGCAACGTGCACCCTGGAATATCTCTCGACACCCGACAACTTTGCGAAATGCGGAAATTGCAATCAGGTCGTGGCTGCTCGCCATTGCTGGCGGCGACCATTGCCCTCTGTCGCTGAGCCAAGAGGTTGCGCCGCACGGCGCGCCGTGCCGACGCCCTGCATTTCAGGCACAAGTTTCCGACGATTTTGGACCCCTACTCCAACTTTTGGCCTCCTCGTCTGTCTGACACCGTCTCGGCGCCGTTGTGACACGCGAGAGCCTGCCCAACTCGCGGTACTTGGCCTTGACGCATCGCGCGGACGTCCCTCGAACCCTGGAGCGTGACGCCGACGCCTGTTCGCCCTCTCTTGCGCCCGTTACGCCCCGCACTCGCCCACCATCCCCCCCACCCCCTCGCTCCCCTTTCGGCGGGGCAGTCGCGCCATCGCCAGCGTTGACGCCACCGTTGACTGCCGTCGTTGTTTTCGGTGCGAAATTGCCCCGCGACGGCGTCCCCTGCCCCCCCGATTCCGCCCGACGCTTTGAAGCGGAAACCAACCCTGGCGCACTCCCCGACGGCCAATCAGCCGACGGCCCAAAAAGCGACCACCGCACATTTTGTCCAAGATGTCGCCCGCCAGCCCGACAACCGCCGCGGCGCCAAATGGGCCATCGGGGGTCATCAGCCAGCAAGGCGGCTGCCAGAAACTTGACATCCCCGGCCTTTTACAAAAGGGCGCGCAACCGATCAGCCGGGGGGGAGCGGGGCATTCCGGTTCTCGCCGGACGAGCCGACCGCCTTCGGCCGCTACGAGGGCAACCCCGCGCGCGTCCTACAGAGACGATCGCGGGGGCGATCGCTCATCGCAAGCGGATTGGCTACCTGAGTTTGGGGCCTGATTGCCCCGGCAGTCCCGCGCGATGGGCCCGCGGTTCCGGCGAGACGGCGCGGGGCGGGGCCGATTCACGCGAGCACGTTCGAATCTGGAGCTGGCCGCGCCAACCCACCCGTGCCTTCAGTTACGCCGCGGCGATGCCGGATGGGCCTCCGCGGTGGCCAGGGCGGCTACCCACTTGCCAGCGTGTGTGGAGCCGTGTGGCGGGATGCGGGGCTTGGGCGCGAGGGCTGGGGAGGGGGAGCCACGAGGGGGCCGGCGTCCGGGCCAATGAGGGGGTGTTGGCTGACAACCGCGGCTGGCGTACAGAGGTGGGTTGATAAGCTCGTGCGGGTCCAAACAAAGCGTCCGGTGGAAATGAGGGATTGGGGCGTTGGGGGCGGAACGGACTGCGTAGTTTGCTGGGCGCCATTGTGTGGGGTCGGCTGGCTGCGGAGGAGTTTTTTAGGCCGGAGGATGGAAATCCGCGTGGCGATTTATTGCTGGCCTCAATCGGTGCGGAGCGCTCACAGTGCAGACTGTGCAATGCAGGTTCACCGTGCCGCCCTTGGGGGTTTGTTGTACAGAGCGAAAGGACGTTCGTGATTCAACGGGCAGGCCCTCAGAGCAAAATCTGTCTCGAATTTCGATAGTGCGGAAAATGACGCAGAGGACTCTGACCGCAGCAGCGCACGACAAGCACAGCAAGAATAGCGAGAAACACGTGCACACCGGGGAACACTAACAGTCGAATGGACACAGTTCATCCAGGAAGTACTCGAACACCTTAGGTGGCGATGCTCACATCCCTTTTGAACATCTCTTAGGCAAGAATTCTTGACTTGTTCAGCAATTGAAGCTGCGGCACGTGTGCCCTGTGGCTTGATTGTTAAGTTGCTTCCCGCATTAGGCCAACCACACTCATGGCCAGTGTTCCACGCCCAGCTCAAGTGCCTAGAGATCCCGTCCACTTCTCCTCGCATGTATTGATAAGGTTCTGTTCGCACTGACCCTTATCACATAACACACTGTGCAACATGGCCACGTGGGCCCCCTGCAAACAATGAACGTGGCATTTCAATGCGCCACATTGCACCGTGGCGGAGCTCAAATGCTTCAACCACCGTGCTGCTGTACGCCATGACAATCTGTTGCCACAGCAGCGAAATCGAGGCGTGGCAACGCAACTGTTGTCTGAACTCACCACGCCAAAGTCATTTATCTCTCGTCCATAAAAATACACCGCAAATTCAGCTCAAGCTGCGCTCCGATGAGTCCCTCCGAGCGTAGTTGCAACACAACCTCCCCACCACGCATCGCGATGACTGAATGAGTGGCACATTCCTCGCCTCTATATGTAAATATTTCATGGTGATGTAAATGCGGGGCATGGCGCTGTCACCTGGGAACCACCCGAGCCTTCGAAGCCTGCCCACAGGCTCGGCCCGCGCTGTGCCCACAGCCTCGCGATGAATCTGCCAGGCCCCCGCCATCCTTTCCCCCACGCAGGCCCAAACGTGCACAAAAAACAGAGCACATGCTCGCTTGGAAGAGCATTACCGCCGCGCACCACAGCCCGGGCGCCGGCCCCGCCCAGGGCTCAACTTTCCGCAAGCCTCTCACCCCGGGGCCCATCTGCGCCAGCCCGTCCACATCCAGTGCCGGCCCCAGCCTCCCCGCGCACCTCCGCCTCCCTCTCCTGCCTGGCGGCCGCCAGCCTGGCCCCCTGCAGCTCCAGCTGCCGGATGAGCTCCCGCTTCAGGTCCGCCTCCTCGCCGCTCGCCCCGCCCGACAGCGACTCCCTCAGCGCCCCGACCTCCTGGGCGTACCGCTCCTCCCTCCGCCGCAGCCTACGAATTTCCCCCCACGCCCTCGCCGCCCGCACCTCCCCCCGCGGGGACTTTTCATCCCGTTTCCTGGGGCCCGAAGGGTCCTGGTCCCCCAGGACCCCCGCCCCCTCCTCGTAGGGCCTGCCGTCCCTGGTGAGGCTCACGCCGCGGCCATCGCAGGCCTCGCAGGAGTGCTCCAGGACACGGTAGTTGTTGTAGGTCCGCCGAGTCACGCCGT